ATGCAAATGTATTGGCATTTGCAAGTTTCATTTCCATGGAGATTATATAACCCCACCCCCTAATTATGGTTCATTGACTTTGAAACTTTTACATAGTTTACAAGTTAATGTTTGTGTTTAGGTTTTTTAAGGGAACGACTTATGAAAAGTCAATGGTATTTGGTATGCAGTTGTATTAGCATTGGCACATCTCATTTCCATGGAGACTGTTTAGCCCTGTACATTCAGTCATGGTTCATTGACTTTGAATATTTGCATAACTTACATGTTAAAGTATTGTAATTTAATTTCAACACTTGCATTATCAAAATAACAAATAGGCGAGACATATCTCTGTGTTAACAGTTTATATAGTATAAATTTAAAATATATTTATATTTTAAATATAAAATTTGAGTATTTTTTTTTTGTATCATGTGTATTGAAAAAGGATGATAATTATTAAGAAAATGTTTTAAATACATTTTCTATGCTGTGAAGGCTTGAGATTTCTTTCCAAGCATTGTACAGTAATATTGAAAAATTTCTCATCTATTTTATAGTTTTGTTAAAATTAATGCAAGATTTATTTGAATAGACCAGATGTTTACACAGGTGTTAATTGAGCTTCCTCTATAATGCTCTACTTTCCTTATTATAGAAGTGCTATAGATTTGATTGACATCTTAATGGATCATGATAATTATTGTCACATAAACTGCTGAATTAGAGCCAACTTAAAAAGCTCTGAGCATCCTCCGAGCATGCTCGGAGCTTCCTCATAAGAATAAATCTATGATCCCTAACAAGGGCCAGAGGTGTACATGTCTGTCTTGCATGGTTCATCTGACCTTGACCTCATTTTCATAGTTCATTGGTCAATGCTAAATTTTCCTGGTTAAGTTTGTTTCTTAGAAACTATAAGCAATAGGTCAACTATATTTGTTGTATGGAATGATTGTAAGGTGTATATGTCTGTCTCAAGGCTTCCAAAACGGTCATATATTCTGGACATTTGTATAATGTCCGGTAAAAGTCCAGCTGGGCAAAGCATGAAACGGTCATCTACTTTTTAGTTTTAAAGGCTTCCTTAAGATCCTCCTCCTCCTGTCACACACCCCAAAAAATCGTAATTATGGTTATCCTCTTATATAAACGAATAAAGACTTCTTTGATTATATAAATTGTTTATCAATTTCATAAATTTTCAACAAAAGTTCCATGAAGTTCAAGTTATTCTCTGGATAAAGACATTTTAACATAATTCGCGATCTTTTTGAACCAACCTTTTGCCTTTAATAGCCACACATTTCCGGTCATAAAAATGACATGATCATAAAGTACTATCAAAACAACCCCTACTTTAATACCTTCTCATTTTAATCAAGGCTAATTAGCTGAAATTTACCTGTTCAGGTGACAGGTAAACTATTTTGAACCGGACATTGATTGTTCTATTCAAAGTTATTTTCTTACATTTTAGCGGTTTGCATCTAATTAATTTAGTCAAAAAGATTTAAATTATCAGAAATACGTTTACAAATATGATTTGATGAAAAAATTAAAAAGGTGAAAATGAAGAATCGTCATAACCACGTTGTTTGAACCAGAGACATGTCTCTGTTTGAACTAGTTCAGGTGTGCGCATGTGCGCAGGTGTGAAATTTAATTATGCATCCTAATTTCTTCAAAAAATGCTTAAATTGTCACTGATGCCTTTATCTCATGTTTATTTCGAATATTTTCTTGAAGAAATAACGTAGAAAGAGCTACTTACACTCATTCATGCTTTGCAAACGTACACAGAATTTATGTATCCGTCTCTGGTCCATGTTTTACCATTGTCAAGATAACATCCGGTATTAGATTTAAAAAGGAAAGTAAAGTTTTTGACAACGTTATTTTGCACAAATAAAGAGTTTAAGGCAGATATAAGTACGCTGATGTTGCACACTTCGAAAGATGCACTGCCAATTTAACAGTTTACGTCAGAACTTCGAATTTGAATCAAAGAAAGTTTAATATCGTATTTTTTTAATGTCAATCAATGGGATGGCCAACTCGGCAACTGATTACCATAATTGCCTTTTGTTTATTTTGTCTTAAGGGATTAAAATCAGGATAATATATAAAATGTCCGGCTGGCTAAAAACAATTTTTGAAGTCCTGGTCTGTCTGGTAATTATTATCTGACCATGACATCATTTTCATGGTTTATTGGTCAATCGGAAGTTTTCCTTGGTAATTTTGTTTCTTAGATACTATATGTAATAGGTCAACTATATTTAAAGCCTGTAATGATTGTTAGGTGTACATGTCTGTCTGGCGGGGTTTATCTGACCTTGGCCTCATTTTCATGGTTCATTGATCGATGTTAAGTTTTCCTGGTTAAGTTTGTTTCTTTAATGTGCAATTGATCAACTATATTAATAGCATATTTGGTGTATGGAATGATTGTAAGGTGTATATGTATTTCCAGTTTGGTTTCTCTGACCTTGACCTCATGGATCATGTTAAGTTTATGTGATAGTTGTAGTAAAGCTTTATATTTAGGATTAGCAACATAAAATCAATGGTTAGTAAAGAAGGCGAGACATTTCAGCGTGTGCACTCTTGTTTAACTTTTCTTTTTGACCAGCTTGCATTGTGTTTTTTTGTGTGTGCAGAATACCAGTTCTTTTCATAAAAAGTAAAATAACAAAAATACCGAACTCTAATAAAATTCAAATTGGAACGTCACTTATCAAATGGCAAAATCGAAAGCTCAAATACATCAAACAAATGAAAAACAACAGTCGTATTCCTGACTTGGTACAGGCATTTCCTTACCGGTATGTCATGTATGTAGAAAATGGTGGATTTAACCTAGTTTTTTGGCTAGCTATAAACCTCTCACTTGTATGCCAGTTGCATAAAATTCCATTATATTGACAACAATGTATGAACAAAACAAACAGACAAAATAAGTAAAAATGTCAAAATTAGGGGTACAGCAGTCAACATTGTGTCTTAATCACTATTAAAACAAACAAATATGTTAACAAAGAAAAACAAAATGGCATATAGACAAAGCACATAAGCAAAAATGAAAGGCAAGAATACAAAAAATGACCACAGCACAACAACACATTGGCTGGATGCATAAGTACCGAGCCATGCCGAAACGATATTATCAAAAATGGATCCTTTTTGTCTCATCTACAGCACTATATATAGACAACGATATCCAACATTTTTGTTGTCGTATCAATAACTGTCTTGAATCATCACGCTCATGGTCGATGAAATGCTTGACACTTATAAAAATCACCCCACTTGCAAGCACATTGCTGATCCGCCAGTAGAAACATATTTTGAAATCAGCTAACAGGATAGAGCCCGAAAAAAAAAAACTGGAAGAGAATTCTCTCGCTATCTCTCTCAGATTCACAGAAGTGAGGCTAATTCCATGACATCATTTTCCATAATAAATATATATATAATTATTGCGATTTTCACCCAGTTGCATTATTCGCATTAATAACAACTCACAATAAATTCTGAATTAACAGTAGTCAGGAAATTTTTGTATCTATAAGTATTTATGTGAGAACTTAAAAAACAATACAGAACATAATTTTGTATGTCAGATATATTTTAAAATAACCGTTTAAGCAAGAATGATTAAAGAGGGTGGTAAAGGTGGGGGGAGGGGGGGTGCTTGCACAGAAAAAACGTGAAATAAGACATGAACGTCATGAACGTTGCACGAAAATTAAATTCTTGTACATATAAACTCTCTGTTTTACTTGTTATTCCCGATTTAGTATACACATTTATGATGTAAATGGTTTACGGCTTTTAAAAAAGTATTTCTTGACGATCCCTGCCAAGTGTTTGAATTTTATTTGAAAAATACCGAGCACGCAAAATAAGCATTTGAAAATCACGATGCACGTAAAATTAAATAAGCAGAACACGTTGAACAAGGCACCTGTCTTGCACGACTGAACGTTAAATAAAAAAGTAAAAACACGTTGAACGTGAAATAAAAAACGGCGATCACATTGCACGAAAATAACCCTTTACCACCCTCATTAAACATTACGCTTTACATACTGTGAAATTACTTTTATTCGAGGGGTACCAATTTTATCAATTATCCACAAATTTAAGTGTCCAACAAAATTTAACAACTGTTGTCCAAATCTAGACATGGAAAGATCCCTGTGTAGGTTTGACTACATGGATACGGTCATATAATCTAGAGAATACATCGAATGTAAGCAAACGCACTATGTACTATATATACAACAGGATTTCACACATTTGATCTTTAAAAAAACCTAACTATACGACTTTTAACCTTTTAATTCTCATGAAAAATTATTTGAGTTATGAAAGTCAGACTTCCGGTGGTGACATGCCAGGATATGCCCAATGTACACCTTTGATGATTGTTAATCTGTTTATCATTTGATCTCGGGTTATTTTATCACTTCTGATTACACGTGTGCAACAATAAAAAATGTTTACTTTGCAATTTCTGTCAATCGAGAAAATTTGTAAGCATAGATGAATCAGCTTATTTCAGAAAGCAATTATAATTCATTGATTGTTTTTTTTGTGGAAAACTAAAATCCAAGAATTTAAGAACCCACGAACACAACACATAATTTTTGTGCTAAGCACAAAAATTGATACCCATGAATAAAAGTACTTTCACAGTAATATATTTATCATGGAAAATAATGTCATAGAATTAGCCTCACATCGGGAGGCTACTTTTCAGGAGGCTGCTACCTTTTCCTCATAGGGTTAAAATTAGAAAAAAGGCATGAACAAAACAACTTCTAATTATATTGTCTATTTTATGTTAAAATTTTCAGCAATACTCTTATCTCAGAAATGCATCTTTGATATTAGTACTCAACAGAAAACCAGTATATATTGACTTTCTTGTCTCTTTCTGTGCATAACATGTTTTTTTCAAGAACAAATATATGGTTATTTCATATGTATGATTACTGTTTACAATACAGGGAGAAGTGCTTTTATTGGTATAGGATTCAATGACCGAGGCGATTCCTTTGATCTCAATGTGGCACTGCAAGACCATTTTAAGTAAGGTTTACTTAGACAACAGGTAAAGTAAGGTACAATTCAGAAAGCAAACAAAAATTGAAGAATGTGTATTCATTATTTTCAAAAGAAAAGTTAGCTCAACAAATATTTCATAAGTTTTAATCATCAAAATTGAGAAAAAAATTGCTCTATTAAAAGATAAAAGATAAAAATACATATTAACTTCACATTGAACAATAGGATTTATGTTACCTGTGTACATTTACTAAAATTTGAATAATTGTTGTCTCACCTGCGATATTTTCTGTATTTTCTGATATACTGTAAGCAATAGGTCAACTACCTAAGGTGTATGAAATGATTTTAAGGTGTACATGTCCTTCTTGCAGGGTTCATTTGACCTTGACCTCATTTTCATTGTTTATTTGTTTCTAACGTGAATTTTAGAACGGGCAGGGGGCCAAGCCCCCCTTATTGAGTTACATATATGGTTAATGCCTAGACTTTTAAAAAGTCCCACTCCTAACTTTGTCTTGCTGGTGACCTCCAAACCCCTTTCCCTTTTCAAAATCCTTGATCCATCAATGATATTAAGTTTTCTTAATTAGGTCTATTTTTCAGATACTATAAGCAATAATTCATCTATATTTGATGCATGGATGATTTTAAGGTGCATATGACTGTGTAGCAGGTTTATTCTAAACTTGACCTCAATTTCATGGTTCATTGGTCACTTTATGATTTTGTGGTAAGGTTTGTTTCTCAAATACTCTAACCAATAGATCAATTATTTGGTGAGATGGAATGATTGTAAGGTGTATATGTTTGTCTAGCAGGGTTCATCTCATGACCTCATTTTCATGGTTCATTGGTCAATGTTAAGTTTTTGTCATGCCTTTGTTGAAAATCGCAAAATGCTAGACATAGGAACTACTATCCAGCTGCAGTAAAGCTTTAAAAATTTTAATATGTTGTTACTGATAACAAGATGGAGGTCAAGTTTGATATTGACGATTTTCACTTTCACCATTCAGGAGTTATGGTTCTTGAAAGATTGAAAAATGGTGTTTCCAGTCCTGTCCATGCTTTAACTCATGAACCGTTCAACCAAAGCTTTTAAAATTTTAATATGTTGGTACTGATGACAAAATGGAGGTCAAGTAAGATATTGACGATTTTCACTTTCACCGTTCAGGAGTTGTGGTTCTTGAAAGATTGAAAAATAGAGTTTCCAGTCGTGTCCATGCTTTCACTCATGAACCGTTCAATCAAAGCTTTTAAATTTTTAATATGTTGGTACTGATGACAAAGTGGAGGTCAAGTTCAATATTGATGATTGTCACTTTTACTGTTCAGGAGTTATGGTCCTTGTGATATTGAAAAAGGCCAGGACACAAATAAATGTTAAAAAATTCGGTTTTCTGTCACTCTGACAGCCTCTTATTGCTTATTATCTTGAAAAGTGTAATAGATACAAATGTAGATAAAAACTTTAAAAAGCAAAAATGATCAGCAGGACAAGATCTACAAATACTTCGTCATGACTGAAATTGTCAGTTAACTCTTTATAGAGTTAATGCCCTTTCATGTTGATTTTTACCAAAGAATGGCTATTGTTTGAAGATGCAGGTGAGCATCACAGGCTCTTCAGAAATATCTAGTTGAATACCAATTGAAACATACTACATCTTGTAAAGATTCCAGTTGAAATTTTGAACAATTACACCTTCTTTTAGTAATCATTAAATGCTTTTTCAAATCCAAGCAATCCTCTCGTAGTAATGATTTGAAATAATACTTTATGACTGCCTATTGAAGTAAAATCGAAGTAAACTCAATATTTGGACATTTGTTAATGTTATGTTGCTTTTTGTAATTATGCCCCACCTAGGGGCATTATGTTTTTCGGTCTGTGCATCCGTTCGTCTGTCCGTCCGTCAGGATTAGGATACATTGTTTGTTCAGCTATCTCCTCCTACAGTTTTGGAGGTACAACTGTTATATTTTGTAGGATGTTCATACACATAATGAAGGTGTGCATGGCCACAGGATTTGATTTTTTTCAAATATTCTGAAAATGACAGGTAGTTGGTCTTAGTCATTTTTAGCTCACCTGACCTGAAAGGTCAAGTGAGCTTTTCTCATCACTTTGCGTCCGTCGTCCGTCGTCCTGCGTCCGTCGTCCGTCGTCCGTAAACTTTTACAAAAATCTTCTCCTCTGAAACTACTGGGCCAAATTTGACCAAACTTGGCCACAATCATCATTGGGGTATCTAGTTTAAAAAATGTGTCCAGTGACCCGGCCAACCAACCAAGATGGCCGCCATGGCTAAAAATAGAACATAGGGGTAAAATGTAGATTTTGGCTTATATCTCTGAAACCAAAGCATTTAGAGCAAATCTGACAAGGGGTAAAATTGTTTATTAGGTCAAGATCTATCTGCCCTGAAATTTTCAGATGAATCGGACAACCTGTTGTTGGGTTGCTGCCCCTGAATTGGTAATTTTAAGGAAATTTTGCCGTTTTTGGTTATCATCTTGTATATTATTATAGATAGAGATAAACTGTAAACAGCAATAATGTTCAGCAAAGTAAGATCTACAAATAAGTCAACTTGACCAAAATGGTCAGTTGACCCCTTAAGGAGTTATTGCCCTTTATAGTCAATTTTTAACCATTTTTCGTAAATTTTTGTAATCTTTTACAAAAATCTTCTCCTCTGAAACTACTAAGACAAATTTAACCAAACTTGTCCACAATCATCATTAGGGTATCTTGTTTTAAAAAATTTGTCCGATGACCCCGCCCGTGAACCAAGATGGCCGACATGGCTAAAAACTAGTACATAGGGTAAAATGCAGTTTTTGGCTCATATCTCTGAAACCAAAGCATTTAGAGCAAATCTGACATGGGGGTAAAATTGTTCATTAGGTCAAGATCTATCTGCCCTGAAATTTTCAGACCAATCAGGCAACACATTGTTGGGTTGCTGCCCCTGAATTGGTAATTTTAAGAAAATTTTGCAGCTTTTGGTTATTATCTTGAATATTATTATAGATAGAGATAAACTGTAAACAGCAATAATGTACAGCAAAGTTAGATCTACAAATAAGGCAACATGACCAAAATGGTCAATTGACCCCTTAAGGAGTTATTGCCCTTTATAGTCAATTTTTTACAATTTTCATAAATTTTGTAAATTTTTGTAAATTTTTACAAAGTATTTTCCACTGTATCTACCGGGCCAAGTTCATTATAGATAGAGATAATAGTAAGGAGCAAGAATGTTCAGTAAAGTAAGATCTACAAACACATCACCATCACCAAAACACATCACCATCACCAAAACACAATTTTGTCATGAATCCATCTGTGTCCTTTGTTTAATATGCACATAGACCAAGGTGAGCGACACAGGCTCTTTAGAGCCTCTAGTTTTGGTACTAGCTGCATAAAGAGATCATGGTTTGTCCGGCTATCTCCTCCTACAGTTTTAGAGATACAACTTTAATATTTTGTAGTATGCTCAAACACATAATGGGGGTGTGCATGGCCACAGGATTTTGATTTCTTTTTCAAATATTCTGAAAATGACAGGTAGTTGGACTTAGTCATTTTTTTGGTCAGGTGGGGGCATCATTTGTGTCTTACAGATAGCGTCACAATTTCAAGTTGTATGCCAACATCACTGTTTGTCAAATGTAAAATATTTGGAACTATGCTTATGCCTACAGATGGCAGAGCAGAAAGGGGGCATTGTCCATATCTAGTTAACTTTTTTTAAAGGTTTTTTGAAAAATGATTTAAATTCTCTGGGGTGTATGAGATCTCAGTTCTTTTTAGCTCACCTGGCCTGAAGGGCCAAGTGAGCTTTTCTCATCACTTGGCGTCTGTCGTCAGTCGTCAGTCTACGACGTCTTCGTCGTGGTCTGTCGTCGTTAGCTTTTTACAAATATCTTCTCCTCTGAAACCACTGGGCCAAATTTAACCAAACTTGGCCACAATCATCATTAGGGTATCTAGTTTAAAAATTATGTCCGATGACCCCGCCAACTAACCAAGATGGCCGCCATGGCTAAAAATAGAACTATAGGGGTAAAATGTAGATTTTGGCTTATATCTCTGAAACCAAAGCATTTAGAGTAAATCTGACATAGGGTGAAACTGATTATCAGGTCAAGATCTATCTGCCCTGAAATTGTCAGACAAATCTGACAACCTGTTGTTTGGTTGCTGCCCCTGAATTGGTAATTTTAAGGAAATTTTGCAGTTTTTGGTTATTATCTTGAATATTATTATAGATAGAGATAAACTGTAAACAGCAATAATGTTCAGCAAAGTAAGATCTACAAATAAGTTGTCATGACCAAAATTGTCAGTTGACCCCTTTAGCAGTTATTGCCCTTAATAGTCAGTTTTTAACAATTTTTTGTAAATTTTTGTAATCTTTTACGAAAATCTTCTTCTCTGAAACTACTGAGACAAATTTAACCATACTTGGCCATAATTATTAGGGTATCTAGTTTAAAAAATTTGTCCGATGACCCCGCCTTCCAACCATCATGGCGGACTTGGTTAAAAATAGAACATAGGTGTAAAATGCAGTTTTATATCACTGAAACTAAAGCATTTAGAGCAAATCTGACAAGTGGCAAAAATGTTCATCAGATTTAGATTTATCTGCCCTGAAATTTTCAGACGAATCCGACAACCCGTTGTTGGGTTGCTGCCCCTGCGTTAGTAATTTGACAAAAATTTTGCAGTTTTTATACGGCCGCCAAAAAATTTTTGTGGTCGTATATTGGTATGACGTTGGCGTCGTCGTCGTCGTTGTTTTTCGCACTCTAACTTTAGTTTAAATGAATGGATCTCTATGAAATTTTACCACAAGGTTCAATACCACAAAAGGAAGGTTGGGATTGATTTTGGGGGTTATGGTACCAACAGTAAAGGAATTAGGGGCCAAAAAGGGGCCAAAAATAAGCATTTTTGTAACTTCCAGACATAACTTGTGTGTTAGTGTATGGATCTCTCTTACATTGTACCACAAGGTTCCATATCACAAAAGGAATGCTGGGATTAATTTTGGGGGTAATTGCCTCAAAATTTAAGGAATTAGGGGCCAAAAAAGGGGAAAAAAACAAGCATTTTTCTAGTTTCATGACAATAACTTGTGTGTAAGTGTATGGATCTTTCTGAAATTGTACTACAAGGTTCCATATCACAAAGGGAAAGCTAGAATTGAGTTTGGGGGTAATTTCCGAAACGTTTAGGAATTGGGGGCCAAAAAGGGGCCAAAAATAAGCATTTTGCTAGTTTCCAGACAATAACTTGTGTTCAAGTGTATGGATCTCTCTGAAATTGTACTGCAAGGTACCATACCACAAAGGGAAGGCTGGGATTGATGATGGGGGTAATTGCCTCAATATTTTAGGAATTAGGGGCCAAAAAGGGGCAAAAAACAAGCATTTTTCTAGTTTCAGGACAATAACTTGTGTGTAAGTGTATGGATCTTTCTGAAATTGTACTACAATGTTCCATATCACAAAGGGAAAGCTGGGTTTGAGTTTGGGGGTAATTGTCCTAAACGTTTAGGAATTTGGGGCCAAAAAGGGGCCAAAAAACACATTTTTCTAGTTTCCAGACAATAACTTGTGTTCAAGTGTATGGATCTCTCTGAAATTGTACTGCAAGGTACCTTACCACAAAGGGAAGGCAGGGATTGAGTTTGGGGGTGATGAATCATAAGGGGGTTCAAAATATTTGGGGGGGGGGATTTTTTTTTTTTTTTACTTTTTTTTCTTTTTTTCCTTTTTTTTTTCTTTTAAATTTTTCCATTTTAAGTTGGTTATTTCTGATTAATATTTAAAAGCAAATAATAATGATATGGTAGGAGATACAAACCAAACAGGATGTGTAAATTATTATATAATAAGTATTGTGCAATAGCAAGAAATTTTCAATTGCACAGTATTGCACAATAGCAAGAAATCTTCAATTGCACAGTATTGCGCAATAGCAAGAAATCTTCAATTGCACAGTATTGCGCAATAGCAAGAAATATCCAATAGCACAATATTGCGCAATAGCAAGAAATTGTCAATTGTACAGTATTGCGCAATAGCAAGAAATATTTAATTGCACAGTATTGTGCAAAAGAAGATACTTCGTATAAATTGCTTATTTCTTGACCAATTTCAATGGGGTTTTATTCTTGAATTCTTGGGGTTCTTTAATATGCTGAATCTAACCGTGTATTTAGTTTTTGGATTTTGGGCCCCGTTTTTAAATTGGTCCACATTGAGGTCCAAAGGGTCCAAAATTAAACTTTCTTTGATTTCATCAAAAATTGAATTATTGGGGTTCTTTGATATGCCGAATCTAACCGTGTAGTTAGATTCTTAAATTTTGGTTCCGTTTTCAAATTGGTCTACATTAAGGTCCAAAGGGTCCAAAATTAAACTTAGTTTGATTTTAACAAAAATTGAATTCTTAGGGTTCTTTGATATGCTGAATCTAAACATGTATTTAGATTTTTGATTATGGGCCCAGTTTTCAAGTTGGTCCAAATTGGGGTCCAAAATTAAACTTTGTTTGATTTCAACAAAAATTGAATATATTGGGTTCTTTGATATGCTGAATCTAACCATGTATTTAGATTTTTGATTTTTGGGCCCCGTTATCAACTTTGTCCACATTGAGGTCAAAAGGGTCCAAAATTAAACTTTGTTTGATTTCATCAAAAATTGAATTCTTGGGTTTCTTTGATATGCTGAATCTAACCATGTATTTAGATTTTGGATATTGGACCATAATAGGTGAATGTCCAATTTAAAATTTTTAAGTTCTTAGACCACATTCATTCTGTGTCAGAAACCTATGCTGTGTCAAATATTTAATCACAATCCAAATGCAAAGCTGTATCAAGCTTGAATGTTGTGTCCATACTTGCCCCAACTGTTCAGGGTTCGACCTCTGCAGTCGTATCAAGCTGTGCCCTGCGGAGCATTTTATTTGTTATTATCTTAGATATCATTATAATATCTAATATCTAATACTATTAATTATGATTTTAACCTTATTTTACATGATTTCAAAGCATCAGTAAATACAGGTGAGCGACACAGGCTCTTGAGAGCCTCTAGTTTCATGTTAGAAATAGAATAGAAAATTCACACATTGCTTTCATTAGTCTTGTATTGAGAAAATCTTGTTCAAGTGAATCAGTATGAAAGTATTTGTAGAAATGTTTTCAAATGAAAATTTATTAATTTCTCACAAAATTATCCTGTTGTCATTCTTGTTTATGTGTGTGTACTTCTTATCCTATTCATTTAATGTAAATGTGTTTGTTCAAATAGTTATTGTTTATTGCCCATTTGTGTGATTTGGCCAGTATTTCAATAAAAGGATTACTTGTCCAATAAAAGTCAGAAGAGTTTAAAAAGAATATCACATGCTAAATTCTTGTAACAAACTATTTATTTCTTTTATTCTAAATCTGTCAAGAATTTTTTTTTTAATATTCAGTAAAGCAAAGGTCTTGTAAAATCCGTATTTTCATCAGTAAAACTAAAGTTATGTACACTAAAGAAAGCATGTGTTATTGTCTTTTCCAGATGGTTGAAAAATGAAGAAGCAGCGAAAAAGACACAAGCAGAATTTAACAGCGGACCAAAACTTGACCTTGGATTCAAAGAAGGTCAAACCATAAAAATTAATATACAGGTATGTACCAGTAATCAAATCAGATAGTTTTCACATAAACCAAAGGTCAATATAAGTTTTAGTTATCATTTTGTATCAGTGGAGGTTTGTATAATTGAATATCTATTCTGACATTCTCACCACCTTCCTCATTGTCATAGGTTGTCATCCATTAAATTTTACGACAATCGTCTCCTCTGAAACTACTTTGCCAATTGAAACCAAGTTTGGCCACAATCATCATTGGATGATCTTGTTTTAAAATTGTGACATATCATGATCCTGCCTACCAACCAAAATAGCCTAAATGACTAAAAATAGAACTTAGGGGTAAAATTCAAGTTTTGTCTATTATTATATTGCGATTTATTCTACTGCTCAGTGATGACTACATAATTATCTTCCAAGAAGATTGATTGATTATGGGAAGGGCATGAAATATTCATTTACAAATAATAATTGGTGTCAAAGAATTTTAATCGCAGTATGTGACAAAGTTCAGTGATTAGAAAAATGTTAGGATTTTTAAATTTATACAATGACCTCATGTCAGGAAATTTGGACTCTGAATGATATCAAAAGCGCAAGAAAAGTGGCACACATTGGTATAAAAAACATGACTGGAAAAAAGAAATTGACACAAGCATGAACTTATGCCATGATAATTTACACTGTTTACTGTAGGACTTTATTGATTACCAGTACAAAAAGTCAGACAACCTTTACCAAGGTTTATCCCATAACTGTCATGTTTATAACAACCGGTAGTAAATAAACTTATATTTGCACCTTGCACAAGAATCTTAAGAGCATCAACCCTAGTATTTTTGTCTAGGGTCGCAGTATGCGAGACAAAGGTATTACTATCCGGCGGCGGCGTAAACTATTTGTATAAAGCTTTATATTTCAGAAGGTAGAAGACCTGGATGCTTCATATCTTGTATGCAGATACCTTATGTTACAAAGTTTCCGTCTGTCATATGTCCTTGACCTCATTTTCATGGTTCAGTGACTGCTTAAAAAAAAATTGAGTTTTTTTGTAATGTGAATTTCTCACTTATTATGAGAAATAGGTTACCTATATTTGGCATATGGGTTCCTTGCAACTTCTACATGTCTGTCAGACAGGATTTATCACCTTGATCTCATTTAATGGATCAGTGATCAAGGTTAAAGTTCGTGATTAGGTTTGTTTCTCAAATACTACAAGCAGTAGAATAACTTTATGTGGAGTATAGAATGACTGTAATGGGTACATGTCAGTCTGGCAGGTTTCATCTGACCTTGACCTCATTTTCATGGTTCATTGGTCAATGATACATTTTCGTAATTTTGCCAGTCTATCAGATACTATAAGCAACAGGTCAACTGTATTTAGTGTATGGAATGATTGTAAGGTATACACCTTGTTCTAGCCAGTATCATCTGACCATGACCTCATTTTCATATTTCATTGGTCAATGTTAAGGTTTGTGTCTCCGTCTGTTTTTCAAATTCTCAAAGTAATAGGTCAGCTATATTTGGTGAATGAAATAATTGTAAGGTGTACATGTCTGTCTGGCAGGTATTATCTGAACTTGACCTCATTTTCATGGTTCATTGGTCAATGATACATTTTCGTAATTTTGCCAGTCTATCAGATACTATAAGCAACAGGTCAACTGTATTTAGTGTATGGAATGATTGTAAGGTATACACCTTGTTCTAGCCAGTATCATCTGACCATGACCTCATTTTCATATTTCATTGGTCAATGTTAAGTTTTGTGTTTCCGTCTGTTTTTCAAATTCTCAAAGTAATAGGTCAGCTATATTTGGTGAATGAAACAATTGTAATGTGTACATGTCTGTCTGGCAGGTATTATCTGACCTTGACCTCATTTTCATGGTTCATGATACATTTTCTTAATTTTGCCAGTCTATCAGATACTATAAGCAACAGATCAATTATATTTGGTGTATTGAATGATTGTAAGGTGTACATGTCTTGTCTGTCTTGCCTGGTTCATCTGATTATGACCTCATTATCATAGAACATTGATAATGTTAAGTTTATGTGGTACTTGTTGTACAGACTTTCAACATAAATTCAATTACCCTGTACCCTAATACTCACATTTCATACAATTGCATATGCTTCATATTATGGGCACTGTAAACCATAGCTTAGAAAGCAATAGAAATATGTTGTACAAAAATGTAGGTAGTGTAAAAGGGAAAATTTCTCCACATTTTTGCTATTTACCAAAAAAAGGTTTCTAATGCAATTAGACCAGTGGTTGCCTAACAGAAACATTTGTTTAAGAATTTGAAAAAGTATGTCACTATGGCGAATTCTTTACATATACATGATATAATTGATTTTTACCCTTGCATATGAAGAACACATAACGGATTTCAGAGGAAATAAAAAATAAAATCCTCCCATCCACCCCATTTTTGTCTCGTCTGCAATGAGGCATAATTATTCCTATCCGGCGGCGGCAGCGACAGCGTCATAAACTATTTGTATAAAGGTTTATATTTCAGAAGGTAGAAGACCTGGAGGCTTCATATCTTGTATGCAGTGTATTTGGTGTATGGAATGATTGTAACGGGTAGATGTTAGTCTGGCAGGTTTCATCTGACCTTGACCTCATTTTCATGGTTCATTGGTCTAAGTTAAGATTTTGGGTTTTGGTCTGTTTTTCAAGTACCATAAGCAATAGGTCAACTATGTTTGGTGTATGGAATGCTTGTAAGGTGTATATGCCTGTCTGTCAGGTATTATATGATCTTGACCTCATTCTCATAGAACTTAAAAATGTTTAGTTTATGTGATACTTTTAGTAAAACCTTTATCTTTATTACTGTCAGTAAAGCAGGCAAGACCTTTCAATATGTGCATTCTTGTGGATTTTGCATAGTTTACAAGTTAATGTTTGTGTTTAGGTTTGTTTAAAGGGAAAGACTTATAATAAGTCAATGGTATTTGGTATGCAGTTGTATTAGCATTGGCACATCTCATTTCCATGGAGATTGTTTAGCCATGTACCTTCAGTCATGGTTCTTCGACTTTGAATATTTGCATAACTTACATGTTAAAGTATTGCTATTTTAATTTCAACATTTACATTATCAAAATTACAAAAAGGCGAGACATATCTCTTTGATAACAGTTTATTTAAAGCCTTTTCAACTTTTTGGTCAAAAACTACAGAGAAACTGTAAAGAGAAAATTTGGTCAGCAATGAAAAATGAACAAACAAGTATTTAAGTGGTGATTTGTATTCTACTGTGCAATGTTGGAGAGTAGCCATTGTTGAAGATAGAACTTGGTTAGGGACACATGCTCTTTAGAGCCCCTAGTTTCATTTTCATAAAATTTTATTGTGACAAGTTTTAGTGGTGAAGGAATGTCTTTTGAGTAACCAGTAATCTAGTGCACCTTTTCTTTTGCGAATGTTCAGCATATAAATAATTTAGTGTCAGTCTGTAAGAATCAGGCAATTTAGAAAAAAATCTAAACATGGCCCAAAAAAAACATGGACCTAACCACCCTTTTTCAAAGGTACCCTCATCCTGAGTTAAAAATGGTAAGTCTTTCGTTTCTGTTGGTCTGGTAATTCTAGAAATATCTAGATAAATTTTGGTTAGAATGATAGCAAATAACAGAGTTATTGCCCCTTAATTGTTAATTTTTGATGCATTTTAACCAAATTATATCTTGAATTATCAGAACAGGGAAAGGAAACGAATGTTATATTCATGCACAATTATTTGCAAATGTACAGCATACAAATAATTTAGTGCACCTTTCCTTTGCAAATGTCCAGCATACCAGTGAATGATAAGCATGTTAAGGTTTATCTGCCACAAAATTTTCAGACTAATCAGACAACCCTATTTTGAGTAACTGCCCCATAAGGCCACACCAATTTAATTTCTTGTTCTATGGATTTTCCACTCCAGAAATTAGGGCGAGCGAGTGATTTGAAAATTTTAATAAAAAAAAAGTTAATTAGAAAATTTTTGAGACGAGCGATTATAATTTTTTTTTGTAAACATAAAATCATAGGTTCTGACAATATTGATCAAAACAAGATGGTATGAAACTTGATTTTCTTCTTGTACTTTGACATTTCTTTAATTTATCAACTGCTAAAGTGTTTTTCCCCTGTTTACCAAGACATGTAATGCCCACTTTTAATTGCAGCATATTTACGACTTCTTGTTTTACTGCAACTGTTACTTTCTGAGGACATCAGGTCTTGAAGTGAATAATTATTTAAATGATCTCCATTAAATTGTCATAGATGTCTTTCCTCCTTCACCGGACATGACTTATAACTAGCAACACGGCAGGTGTCTTGCAGGATGAAATTTGAAAAAAATGGCAGGATAGGAGTTTGAGTGAAAAAAAGGCAGGATGAGCAACTTGGCGAAAAAAGGCAGGATGAGCAACTTGGCGAAAAAAGGCAGGATGACAGTTTATGTAAAAAAATTTGTGATAAACTAATAAAAAAAAAAGGCAGGACCGAATAGAGTGAAAAATAAAAAGGCAGGACCGAGATCTAAAAAAAAAAAATGCAGGACAAAATTTTTCATTGTAGCCCTAACCCCCCATAAAAAAACAAATGGTAGCTCCCTTATATGTTGGTTGTCTGTGTCTCTGTCATTTTGGTGTTCTCCTTTTTTTTCTATGTATTTTTGGCACTTTGTATATAAATAAGATGTGGTATGAGTGCATATGAGACAACTCTCCATCCAACTCACAATGTATTTAAAGTTAACAATTATAACCATATAGGTCAAAGTACGGCATTCAACACGGAGCTTCTGCTCACACCAAACAGCAAGCTATAAAGGGCCCCATAATGACTTAGTGTAAAACAATTCAAACAGGAAAACCAACAGTCTAATATAAATTCAAAACGAGAAACACCTATGAACCACACCAACAAACGACAACTACTGAACAACAGGCTCCTAACTTAGGACAGGTGCATAAAAATGCAGTGGTTATGGATAGTTTTATTCCGCCGGCAAACTATATTGCAGTTGAAAGCAACACTTCTCCCCCACGTCCTTTATTCTAACAACGAAAATCAGCTTGATTTTGTGAATAATCGTCCTTGACTTTGAAATCTGTGTTAATGCTCGAAACAGTTAAAAGGGTCGCGATTTGACATTGACTAAAACGATCTTGCTGTCGCTTTTTATTTTGTTTTTAATGTTTACAAAAATTGGCGCGGGAAATAGACACAATTACTTTTCCGGATGCGGGAAGCGGGAAAACAAAATTTTGGGTTTAGAAAAAAGTATGTGCGGGCGGGTCCGTTGAACAAGGAATTAAATTGGTGTGGCCTAAATAATAAGTTTTATGAAATTTGTCTGTATTTGGTTATTGTCTTGAAAACTAGATAAGGAGAAATTTTAAATAGCAAATAAGTTTGTTTCCTTGATACTACAAGCAAAGGTTAACTCTATTTGGTGTATGGAATGATTGTAAGGTGTACATGTCTGTCTGTCAGGGTTTATCTGAAATTGACCTTATCTTCATGGTTAATTTTGTCAATGATAAGTTTTTCATGGTTTTGTTCATTTCCTATATACATGTACTATAAAGCAATAGGATTTGTACTCATTATCACTCAACTTAAGAGTTGTCAACTTGAAGGTAGAACCATGTGAGTACTATGTACTTAAGAGTTGTCAACTTGAAGGCAGAACCATGTGAGTACTATGTACTTAAGAGTTGTCAACTTGAAGGCAGAACCATGTGAGTACTATGTACTTAAGAGTTGTCAACTTGAAGGTAGAACCATGTGAGTACTATGTACTTGATAATTAATATTAATCCAACACCTACTATACAAACCATCTGCTGTAAGAAGGCCAGACATAACAGTTTATTGCCTAGATATGCCTCTTCAATAGTAGATATAAAAGTTATAAGAATAAATGACAGCATAATTTTAACTAAAAATTATTTGTAAATGATGTTGCTTTTTCAGACCAAGAAAGACCCTAATCAGCAAGCAAAATCCAGACCAAAGGGTCAAGGGTCAGGAGGTGGTTTTGGAATGTTGCCTCCTCCTCCTGGAGCAATGAAGTTGCCACCACCACCAGGTGGTATATCACAACTGGAACCCAATCAAGAAAAACAACACCAGCAAATTTCACAGTTTTCAGAACCGAAAACAAATTCTCATTCACAAAACATTAGTTCTAGTAATAGCCAATCAAATGTAGATCTGTTGTTTGATTCATTATCAGTGAGTTCATCAGGGTCATCATCACAACCTGTGTTACAACCTCAGACAACAACACAAACTGTAGATCCTTGGGGAGATTTTACAGGAGTTAAGTGAGTATAGTGGAGAACTTCTTTTATGTTATGTTCAAAAAATTGAAAAATGGGTTCTTTAAAGACATTTTTCAGAAGTGTCAATATCTATTAATTTTTATACGACCGCAAAAAAATTTTTGTGGTTGTATATTGGTATGACGTTGGCGTCGTCGTCGTCCGAAGACACATTAGTTTTCGCACTCTAACTTTAGTTTAAGTAAATGGATCTCTATGAAATTTTACCATAAGGTTCAATATCACAGAAGGAAGGTTGGGATTTTGGGGGTTATGGTACCAACAGTTAAGGAATTAGGGGCCAAAAAGGGGCCAAAAATAAGCATTTTTGTAACTTCCAGACATAACTTGTGTGTTAGTGTATGGATCTCTCTGACATTGTACCACAAGGTTCCATATTACAAAGAGAAGGCTGGGATTGATTTTGGGGGTAATTGCCTCAAAATTTTAAGAATTAGGGGCAAAAAAAGGGGCAAAAAACAAGCATTTTTCTAGTTTCATGACAATAACTTGTGTGTAAGTGTATGGATCTTTATTAAATTGTACGACAAGGTTCAATATCACAAAGGGAAAGCTGGAATTGAGTTTGAGGGTAATTGCCCATAACGTTTAGGAATTAGGGGCCAAAAAGGGGCCAAAAATAAGCATTTTTCTAGTTTCCAGACAATAACTTTTGTTGAAGTGTATGGATCTTTCTGAAATTGTACTGCAAGGTACCATACCACAAAGAGAAGGCTGGGATTGATTTTGGGGTAATTGCCTTTAAATGTTAGGAATTAGGGGCCAAAAAGGGGCAAAAAACAAGCATTTTTCTAGTTTCAGGACAATAACTTGTGTGTAAGTGTATGGACCTTTATGAAATTGTACTACAGGGTTCCATATCACAAAGGGAAAGCTGGGTTTGAGTTTGGGGTTAATTGCCCTAAACGTTTAGGAATTTGGGGCCAAAAAACAAGCATTTTTCTAGTTTACAGACTATGACTTGTGTTCAAGCGTATGGATCTCTCTGAAATTGTACTTCAAGGTACCATACCACAAAGGGAAGGCTGGGATTGAGTTTGGGGGTGATGAATCATAAGGGGGTTCCTTTTTTTTCTTTAAAATTTTCCATTTTAAATTGGTTATTTCTGATTTATATATAAAAGCAAATAATAATGATATGGTTTGAATAGGTAAATTCAAATTTTTAAAGTTCTTAGACCACATTCATTCTGTGTCAGAAACCTATGCTGTGTCAAATATTTAATCACAATCCAAATTTAGTGCTGTATCAAGCTTGAATGTTATGTCCATACTTGCCCCAACTGTTCAGGGTTCGACCTCTGCGGTCGTATCAAGCTGTGCCCAGCAGAGCATTTTATTTAGATATTTAGTTCAAACTGAATAATTAAAATTAGAAAATAAACAAATAAATAAATTGCAGTTTTATAAAAAAAAATATTGAGGAAGCTTAAATTTTGATTTATTGCACAAATTTTAGATAGGTTAAACTAATTAAATTAAGCAACACTGTGTTTCCATGAATATACACACTTGTAACAAATTAATTCTAACAAGATGTTTAAATATTATAAGATCTTGTATGTTTTCTTTTTTTGCAATTTTTCACTCTTTGTTCTTCCATCAACTGAGTCCTCTTTGTATGAATACTGATTCCAATTATTATAGTATATTTAAGTAACCTTCCGTATAGCGGGTTATTTTCGCGGGGGTATATTTTCGCTTATTTTCGTGGATAGAACAAAATCGCCAAAATAAATTCCGCCAATTTAAATGTGCACATGCAAACATAGTGATAAAAGTTTTGAATCCGCCAATATAATAACCACCAAAATATTTCGTATACCTTATTCAATGAAAATCGCGAAATTTTACACCCGGGAAAATAACCCGATATACGGTATGCTTTGTTGTTTTGTTAAAAATTGTTTATGTACTCACTTTGTGAAAACAAAATAGACTTTTTATGAAGAAATTGTCAAAATTGGAAGGCAACACAGGAGAACTTTACAAAAAAATTTGGGCAACATTAATTTGCTTGGAAGCCTTTTCAAAGCAACTTAAGAATTCCAGTAACTTTCTCTGTTGTGATGAGATTGTTTATAAGCAGGCCTAGAAAAAAATGTTTATAGAGTATATGCTTAAGTACTACTAATAATAATTTTTTTTTATAAAACATACAAAATCTTTAGTTGTGATGGAAAATATAGGTTTTAAAACATTATTTTTTACTGTTCAGTATTGCTAAGATACATGTAATAAACTTAAATTATTAACTAGAAAAGATGTGAAGTATTCATGGTTGTTTAATATGCTCAATTCAAATTTCAGGAAAGGTGGAGGAAAATGACTTGATATTCAACATTTTGAATAAATTATGTATGTTTGAACTGACAAATCCATTCTGTCAAAAACCTACAATTGCAGACCAATTCACATTATATGTTTAATCTGAGCACAGATTCTAACTTAATATCCTTGGTTAATGTCATTCTCCATTCCACAGACTTATACAATACAGTATATATTCCGCACATATTCCTTTTTCACTTACCTATCCATCGGACATCATCTGACACCAGATCACTTGGGGTCTGTTGTTCGGCTTAAACCTTTTTTTAATTCATCTACTCTAACTACTGGCCAAATGAAACTAAACAATTATCCTTAGGATGTCCAGTTTCAAAGTAATGAGAAGTGTTCCTGCTTGATGTTGAAATTAAAATAAGAAATAGGGAGTTGACAGTTTTTTGCTCGGTGTTGAAGGCCTCACTGTGACTTTACGAAGAAGAACAGCTATAAAAGCGCTGTTCCTTTGCTTTTTATACGACCGCAAAATAATTTTTGCGTCGTATAATGCTATGATGTTGTGGTCGTCGTCTGAAGACACATTTGGTTTCCGCACAATAACTTTAGTTTAAGTGAATGGACCTCTATGAATTTTAACCAGAAGGTTCAATACCTTAAAAGGAAGGTTGGGATAGATTTTGGGGTGATGGTACCCACAGTTTAGGAATTAGGGGCCAAAAACAAGCATTTTTGTAGTTTCTGGACAATAATTTGTGTGTAAGTGTATGGATCTCTCTGAAATTGTACCACAAGGTTCCATTTCTCAAAGGGAAGGCTGGGATTGAGTTTGGGGTTAATTGCCCCAAATGTTCAGGAATTAGGGGCAAATAAGGGGCCAAAACAAGCATTTTTCTAGTTTCCAGACAATAACTTGTGTTCAAGTGTATGGATCTCTCTAAAATTGTACTACAAGGTTCCATACCATAAAGGGAAGGCTGGGATTGAGTTTGGTGGTAATTACTCCAAAAAGGGGGGGGGGTTCAAAAAGTTGGGGGGATTTTTTTTCCAATTTTTTTTTTTTTTGGGGGGGGGGGGTCATTTTTTTTTCTTCAAAATTTTTTTGAAATTTCAAATTTTTGAAATCTCCAATTGCACAGTATTGTGCAATAGCAAGAAATCTTCAATTGCACAGTATTAGGCAATAGCACAGTATTGTACAATAGCACAGTATTGGGCAAAAGCAAGAAATCTTCAATTGCACAGTATTGCGCAATAGCACAGTATTGTGCAATATCACAGTATTGCGCAATAGCAAGAAATCTTCAATTGCACAGTATTGCTTAATAGCACAGTATTGGCCAATAGCACAGTATTGGGCAATAGCACAGTATTGCACAATAGCAAGAAATCTTCAATTGCACAGTATTGTGCAATAGCAAGAAATCTTCAGTTGAAAACAAATACAAATGTTTTAACCAATTTCGATGGGATTAATTAAGTCTTTAATTTTTGGGGGTTTTAACCTTGTATAATTTTTGTCGAGCCTGCGACTTTTGACGCAAAAGCGAGACATAGCGATCCTACATTCCGTCGGGTGTCCACAAATATTCACTCTGTGGTTAAAGTTTTTGAAATTTTAATAACTTTCTTAAACTATCCTGGATTTCTACCAAAGTTGGACATAAGCTTGTTTATGATCATAAGATAGTATCCAGAGTAAGTTTTGTAAAAAAAAAAAATCCTGCTTATCTGTATTTTACTTATAAATGGACTTAGTTTTTCTGCCAGTTAACTTTACATTCACTCTGTGGTTAAAGTTTTTAAAAATTTTTAAAATAACTTTCTTAAACTATCCTGGATTTGTACCAAACTTGGACAGAAGCTGTTTATGATCAAAAGTTAGTATCTATTTTGTAAAAATTTATTTTCTGTTTTTCCGTATATTACTTATAAATGGACTTAGTTTTTCTTCCAGTTAACATTACATACAATCTGCAGTTAAAGTTTTTAAAACATTTATTAGATTCATAAACCATCCTGGATTTTTACCAAACTTGGATAGAAGCTTCTTACAATCAAAAGATAGTATCTAGAGGAAAATTTTTAATAATTTTTTCCCCATTTTTGTTGAGCCTGCGACTAACAGCAAAAGTAGGCGAGACACTGGGTTCCGCGGAACCCTTACGATTTTTTTTGGATATTGGGCCCCATTTTCAAATTGGTCTACATTGAGGTCAAAGTGGTCCAAAAATAAACTTTGTTTGATTTCATCAAAAACTGAATTATTGCAGCTGTATGATTTGCTGAATCTTATTGTGCATTTAGATTTTTATTTTGGGCCCTGTTTTCAAATTAGTTCATATTAAGGTTTGAAGGGTTCAAAATTAAACTTTGTTTGATTTCAACTAAAATTAAATTATATGCTGAATCTAACCATGTTGTTAGATTTTGGATATCAGACCATTCTAGGTAAATTAAATGTCCAATTTCAAATATTTTTTTTTTAAGATCTTTGACACTCCTGTGAAACAACTAGATTAATTCAAAACAAAGGAGAACTTCCGTTAAGGGCTAATTTTGGCCTAAAATTAGAAGAACATCTGACGAAAGATTTTTGTCATTTTTTATACATTTTTTTGCGGTCATATATTGGTATGACGTTTTGTCTCCGTCGTCGTCATCCAAAGACACATTGGTTTTCGCACTCTAACTTTAGTTTAAGTGAATGGATCTCTATGAAATTTTACCATAAGGTTCAATACCACAAAAGAAAGGTGGGGATTTTGGGGGTTATGGTACCAACAGTTAAGGAATTAGGGGTCAAAAAGGGGCCAAAAATAAGCATTTTTGTAACTTCCAGACATAACTTGTGTGTTAGTGTATGGATCTCTCTGACATTGTACCACAAGGTTTCATATCACAAAGGGAATGCTGGGATTGACTTTGGGGGTAATTGCCTCCAAATTTTAGGAATTAAGGGCCAAAAAGGGGCAATAAACAAGCATTTTTCTAGTTTCATGACAATAACTTGTGTGTAAGTGTATGGATCTCTCTGACATTGTACCACAAGGTTCCATATCACCAAGGGAACGCTGCGATTGATTTTGGGGGTAATTACCTCAAAATTTTAGGAATTAGGGGCAAAAAAGGGGCAAAAAACAAGCAGTTTTCTAGTTTCATTTCAATAACTTGTGTGTAAGTGTATGGATCTTTATGAAATTGTACTACAAGGTTCCATATCACAAAGGGAAAGCTGGAATTGATTTTGGGGGTAACTCCCTCAAAATTTTAGGAATTAGGGGCCATAAAGGGGCAAAAAAACAAGCATTTTTCTAGTTACAGGACAATAACTTGTGTGTAAGTGTATGGACCTTTATGAAATTGTACTGCAAGGTTCCATATCACAAAGGGAAAGCTGGGTTTGAGTTTGTGGGTAATTGCCCTAAACACTTAGGAATTTGGGGCCAAAAAGGGGCCAAAAAACAAGCATTTTTCTAGTTTACAGACAATAACTTGTGTTCAAGTGTATGGATCTCTCTGAAATTGTACTTCAAGGTACCATACCACAAAAGGAAGGCTGGGATTGAGTTTGGGGGTGATGAATCATAAGGGGGTTCAAAAAATTTGGGGGGGATTTTTTTTTCCTTTTTTTTTCTTTAAAATTTTCCATTTGAAGTTGGTTATTTCTGATTTATATATATAAAAGCAAATAATAATGATATGGTTTGAATAGGTAAATTAAAAATTTTTAAGTTCTTAGACCACATTCATTCTGTGTCAGAAACCTATGCTGTATTAAATATTTAATTACAATCCAAATTCAGTGCTGTATCAAGCTTGAATGTTGTGTCCATACTTGCCCCAACTGTTCAGGGTTCGACCTCTGCGGTTGTATCAAGCTGCGCCCCAGCTGAGCATTTTATTATACAATTAAGTGTCTGCTTCAGTCGATCCAATTAGTTTATGTTAAATATTTTAACTGATTTGGTCATCAAAGAGGCTCAAATTCAAGCTTAAATATGAAAAATCTATCAAATATGCCATAAAACGTCACTTTTGAGATGGTTTTTGTTTAAAATGGAAGTGGCCGCATTCGTGTTCAGTCTCAGCATTTAAATATTAAGAATGAACACAAATGCGGCCACTTCCATTTTAGATAAAAACCGTCTTAAAATTAGCACAAATGCTAAAATTGTGAAGATTTCAGTATTTTTGCATGAAATGATGATACTAGTACCTGATGCATGTCCATTGTACTGTCAAAAACAGCCCATATATATGTAACAAAAGTATTCTTCTTTCCAATAAATAGCTAAAAGTTTACATTTTCAACAACTTTGTAAAACGCTGTATTTTGGGGCCAAAATGGGGTCTTACCGGACCTACTCCTTTGAACCATTATTACATGTTTGTATGGTTACAATTTCCTATCCTATTTTAAAGCTTAAAGCCTCTAAAGAAAATAATTTTACATTCCTTGTTAAGATTGGGATATGTGGCAGATACAGGCTCTTTTGGTGGTTATATTTGTTATTGTTGGCTCCTAAAATCAAAAGATTTAATCATTCAGAAGAGACTTTGGAATCCTGAAATAAACAAACACAGCATGTAACTGAAGAGGGAAAGATTGTTAAAACACAAATGATATATTAAATGAAAGACATGCCAAATGGAAAAAAAATTATTTAAAAGATTGCTGTCAATTGTCTTTCATTTTAAATTCAAATTGCTGTACTGTTTTTATTTTGGTAAAGATTTTAAGTTGTGGTGAATTCAATTTCAACACTCACTAAAACCTTATAATCCAGCAAGAGTTGATATTAAACTGAGTTTATCAAGCTGAGTTCATAAGAATTTTTATGATGGCTTTTACTTATAAGTTTTAAATCATTCTTTCTATACTTGTATATCTACTTTAATTTTTCTATTTTTAGTTCTAATTCAACTAATACTACAGATGAGAATTGGGTACAGTTTTGATGAATTGTGATATGGACTAGACCATCAACAGAATTGTCTCATAGTTAAGGCATTATAATTAGTGTAAAATCATCATTATTTTATCACAAATGGCTCTTATTGTCTTTCTTCTGATGAGGTGTGTTGTAGATTTTTTAAAACATGATAAAAAACATATTGCTTATTGTATTTTATGGACCACTTTAAATTTCATGGAATTCAAGAAAGTATGTTCCAAATTTGAACATTATATTTTAAATCTGTTCTGCCTACTGAATTTTAACAGAAAATTGATTTACATCAGTTGTATAAACTTTAATCTAAGGTTGTAAATGATGAATTAGCATGTTTAGCATGTTAAATACTTTATCAATGATTCAGCTTTGGTAACTATCAATTCACAGAATTTAATATGCATATTTATTATATTTGTGAATTACACATGTTACAACTAACAGTAACACAACTTTAATTTATACTAAATATACCTGTTCCTGTACTTATTGTTATAGATTATTACTGGTCAGGAAATATTAAGAATGAAAGTTTTTATTAATAATATATTCATCTTTCTGAATTTTTTGCAGAAAATAAATCGTCAAATCAATTAGGGCTCCACTGACTAGTTATAACTCCTGTCTGTCCATCGACACTTCTTTGTTGTGTGATAAGTTAAAGATTGCATCAATCAATATCCATAATTTGTATGTAAACTGTTAAAACCTCTAAAAGAAAGGCCCTTTTAATTTTTTTATACGACCGCAAAAAATTTGCATTCGTATATTGCTATCACGTCTTCGTTGTCGTAGGTTTCGTCTAAAGACATTTGGTTTCCGGACAAAAACTTTAGTTTAGTTGTATGGATCTCTATGAGTTTTAACCAAAAGGTTCATACCATAAAAGGAAGGTTGGGATTGTTTTTGGGGTGATGGTCCCAACCATTTAGGAATAAGGGGCCAAAAAGGGGCCAAAAACAAGCATTTTTCTAGTTTCAGGACCATTACTTGTGTATAAGTATTTTGTACCACAAGGTTCAATACACAATACCACAAGTAGAAGGTTGGGATTCATATTGGGGGTAATTGCCCAAACCGTTCAGGAATTAGGGGCCAAAATAAGCATTTTTCTAGTTGTCAGACAATAGCTTGTGTTTAAGTGTTTTTTTTCCCTCCAGATTTAAGAAATTAAAAAGAAAATTTCTTCAAATATTTTTTTTTGGAAAAAGGGGGGCAAAACAAAAATTTTTTTTTGGGGGGGGGTCAATTTTTTTTCCTCAAGATTTAAGAAATTATCAATTTTCCAAAAAAAGAATTGGGGGGGGGGTCTCAATTTATTTTGCTAATTCTTTGTATAAAGTCTGAAAACAGATTTACTAAGTATTGCGCAACAGCACAGTGTATTGCACAACAGCAAGAAATCTTCAATTGAATATAAATTCAATCATATAACCAATTTCAAGTTCTATGACTACATTTATTCTGTGTCAGAAAACTATAATGTGTCAAATATTTAATAACAATCCAAATTCAGACCTGTATCAAGCTTGAATAATGTGTCCATTTTTGCACCAACTGTTCAGAGTTGGACATCTGTGGTCGTATCCAGTTGCGCTTGGCGAAGCAGTTTATTTTATATGTGGACAAAAAATGTGGTTAAAAAACTTTGTTAAAAAAATCACACATTTTGAGAAACATGATTTTATTCCAGAATTTCAACAAAAAGCTATGTTTAAGGTCATAATATGCTACTGTGGATTCATATATTTTAGTGGGTATCAATTTTCGTGGATTGAGGAAAACTTGCATTTTCGTGGATATTTGATTTTGTGGTTTTGCCAATCTCTGCCTACAAAGCCTAAAGAAAATTTGTAATTCGTTGAACATTTGAATTCGTGGTTCACATGTACCCACGAAATCCACGAAAATTGGTATTCAACAAATAATTATAAATCCACAGTATTCAAAGTTGATACCCAATACATTGTATCCAAAAGGGGTGAAATTTGTCTTTAAAATTTTAGTTTCTTCCTGAGAGTTCACAAATTCTGAAAAACATCTTTTTGTGCTAGGATTTCAATGAAAATTGATTCATTAGAACTTGTTAATTCCAAATTGATTCACAATTTCAAAATTTGGTAAAAACTCAATTTTTGTTAAAAAAAACCAGACATATTTTGAGAGACATGTTTTTGCCAGCACTTTAAAGAAAATCTATATTTATTCCAGCTTGTTTACCTGTGACTCTTTGTCAGCCTTTGCTGACATATTAGTTTTCTAATGTATTTTATTTTTAATTTACATTGAGAAATTCAAATGCACAGAGATTTTTATTTTGTTACAAATTTTAGGATTTTAATGATTATTTGATATGTTATGATAAATGTCAACAAAAGATCATCAGTGACATTTGTATTCAATTTACCTTTCATATGATGGTATGATTTTATTAACCTGATTTTCGAAGGAAAAATCGATTTTTGATTTGGGGATGTACAGCGGGCTGTCTGTCGGGGGGTTGGCGGGCGGCTGCCAAACAGTGTCTGTTCAATAACATGAAAACGCTATGACCAAATTTTTTCAGATTTAGATATGTTGTTTCCTGTGACTAAATGAAGGCCAAGTTAAATTTTCACGATTTTAGCTTTTCTCCTTGTTCACCCTTTTTAATATACAAAAGTGGTACTTCTAATGTGATTGAGTTATTTCCCTTTGAACAGAAATTGTTAATTATATATATAAAGTTTGATTACACTAAGTGTTTTTAAGTAATTTTCACCTGTTATAGGCGAGTGACTTATTTCAAAAAGACGCTTAGTTAACGACTTTAATGCACCCACCTAACACACAGCTGTATTATATATCATTCGAAAGCTAATAATCTGTACTTTCTGTTTTGTCCGGTCGTAAAAAAATCGCACGGTGCATTTTCTGTTAAATCAAGGTCAAAGGTCATGAAAAAACATTCCAATTTTTGTCGAGCCTTCAACTTTTGTCGAAAAAGCGAGACATAGCGATCCTACATTCCGTTGGCGTCGTTGTCGTCGGCGGCGTCCACAAATATTCACTCTGTGGTTAAATTTTTTGAAATTTTAATAACTTTCTTAAACTAATCTTGATGTCTACCAAACTTGGACAGAAGCTTGTTTATGATCATAAGATAATATTCAAATGTAAATTTTGTAAAAAAAAAATTCCATTTTTTCCATATTTTACTTATAAATGGACTTAGTTTTTCTGCCAGGAAACATTACATTCACTCTGTGGTTAAAGTTTTTGAAATTTTAATAACTTTCTTAAACTATCCTGGATTTGTACCAAACTTGGACAGAAGCTTGTTTATGATTAAAAGCTAGTTTCTAGAAGGAAATTTTGTTAAATATTGTTCCATTTTTTCCGTATTTTACTTGTAAATGGACTTAGTTTTTCTTCCAGTTAACATTACATACAGTCTGCAGTTTAAGTTTTTATAACATTTATTAGATTCATAAACTATCCTGGATTTTTACCAAACTTGGACAGAAGCTACTTACAATCAAAAGATAGTATAGAGAGGAATATTTTTATTAATTTTTTTCCTAATTTTTGTTGAGCCTGTGATTAACAGCAAAAGTAGGCGAGACACTGGGTTCCGCGGAACCCTTACGAATTTTTGCGATTACTAAACAAAAAGCTATTTCCTAATTCTTGTACCATAAAATTTTTCAGAAGATCATATAAACTTTATATAACATAATACATTATTTCCAAATCAAACAAAAAATAAGAGGTTATATGCGCAATATTTCCCGAAAATTGAAATTCATCACAAATCTTAAAAAAATGAAAAAATTGTTCCAAAAGCAAAATATATCTTGGGGGATCGATATTTGTATGCTAAAAAAATAGATTAATAATATGTTTTAGGTCAAGGAATATTTGTTTTGTAATTTTAAGATGCAATTATTAATTATTGTTCATAGAACAGCCTTCTATTGAAGTGTTTGCAGTTGCCCAAAAATCTGCCATCTGCAAATAGCGATCATTTTGTTATTCTATGTTAAGATAGCACATCGCCAATTTTCAATATCAGGGAGGAGAATGATTTTCCATAATAAAAGAAGGGGTATTTAAAGTTCGAAAAGAATATATACGAGCTAATTGAGGTAAAAATATGTTTTTTACGAAGTCAAACTTATTTACTTTTTTTAATCCTGTTTAAATGCAAACATGACTTTGCGACTAAATCGTAGGCAACATTGAAATAAGTAACCTTGTTTAGAAACACTTGGTTGTCTAAAGCGGAATGTAAACGAACTACATATAATGCTTCTGCTTCTTATTTAGTTTAAAATCGTGTTAGACATATTAAATGTGTTTAGAAGTTTAATCTCTTTAATTATTTGAATAAAAGATGCTTCTATATATCTTTATTCTCACAAACCAAATTTCAAAGGTATAATGATAGGATTGAGTATTTTCAACATAAGCTTTTAAAATACAAATGCAGGTCAGTGTGTATGTAAAACACTATAAGCAGTTGTGAAATAAAAAAATGAAAAAGTTTAATACCTTCCTGACCTCATAAGATCATTCGCTGTTTTAGGCAGTGATCGTTTTCATGCTGTGCTGTGTTTTTTGGACTGTTGTTCGTCTCTTGGACTTTAATTTTATTTTGTTCATGGTTTTAATTAAGTTTATTTGATTCATGGTTTGAGATGTTGATTGACCCTTTGGTATTATTTCACTTTAAAGATATTATCTTTCAGTAATGAAAATCGGCAAAAAAATCGCCTCAAAGTAAAGTGAAGAAGATTAACGCAATAAGACAAATATCCGCGGTGATATATATATATATATAGAACCAAATAGTTATCATGATACATTTAACTACAATGATCTACAATTTTTAAAACTTTTACTACTTGAAGAGTGACGAATTATATCAAAGGGACATCAAACTCATAATTGAAAACCAACTGACAAAGCCGGGCAAAAAACGAACAAGACAAGTACAGATTGAGTAACACAAATCCCCCAAAAATATTTGGGGTGAACTCAGGGGCTCCAAAAGGGTGAGCAGATCATGTTCCACATGTGACACCCGTCTTGTGGCTCATGCAATTCCTACCTCGGTGCCAAGCCTTATTTTCGGTAGGTGACATTCAAGGCAGAAATGACGGTATTTTGGTTACGTCGATTGGAACTTATCAGTCGTCATCTGGCAAAACAGATATTTCATAATTGTCAACCAACTCGTAGTGGCGTCCATAAAATTTTCAAAGGGATGATTTCAACTTTGCATTTGAACTCTGGTTTAAAACCATGTTCAAACCACCATTTTTCTTCAAATGTCCTGTACCAAGTCAGGCATATGGCAGTTGGTATCGAATAATCTGTTTCTTTGTATGTTAATGTTTGTTTTTGTAGCAGTTCAGTGTTTCTGTTATTCCGTTGTGTTCCTCTTATAGTTGATGCGTTTTCCACGGTTTTTGGTTTGTGACCCGGATTTGTTTCAGTTACTAGTAAATCGATTGATTACTATTGAATAGCGGTATACTATAGTTGCCTTTATTTAATATCTTCATTGTGAGCAGTTACGCACTATCACGACAATCGTGAAAGTAAATGCAAGTTCTGGAATATTGTATCAACTTGGAGATATATACTCCACAAGAAGATGCCGCGAAATCACGTTACAATTGGGCAAGTGTTTAAATAAAGAGTTTTATTTAATTTTGCGGGCAGTACGTCGACTGAGCATTCAAAGACAAATTTAGGAAATGCAAAACCCTACATTTATACGTCATATCATAAATATTCCGACTTGTCATTGTTTCAGAGGAGTTGAGGCTCAATGAAATCGGTCTCCTCCTTTAATAGTATAGATATGCAGGTGTTGCTATAATGTTGCTACATAGAAATGAAAAGTTTATAATTGGTTAGTAAGGAGTGTTTTTATGGGTTGATTTATGCTCATCTCTTTTGTCGTAAAAATTATTCTCAACCAACCCTCATCGTCGATTTCAAGATAAGTGGTAGAGTAAACTATATTTGTTGAGTCTTTTTTTTTAATTTCAATGGAAAATACGAGTCAAACATTGTGACAAATTTGGCACTATACAGCGAGATGACATCATCTATATAGTGGAAAGTGAAGTTTCAAGAAAATGGTAGCTTCTTTTCAGTCGTCATCAGAAGCTCTTGCATGAAGTCATCATCGTATGAAAAATGAACTAGTCATTTAAGCTATTCAGAAAGTCTAGTTGTAACTAGAATCGTTGCGTATTAATGGATTTTTTTCTTCAAAATTATTCTTATGTGATGAATTACTGCATTTAAACAATGAACAACCAATTTAAGCAATCAAGATGTCAAGTTTTATAATGTGTTTACTGGTTTTTAAATTCTTTTAAATTTCAATTTTCATCAATTTATTTTTTATTTATTTATGTCTAAATTTTCAATTTATTTTTTATGGTTCACATTTAATAAATAAAAGGTCTTTTCACTACATCAATGTTTATAATGAAGCTGCAAATCAAACAATTAGAAAAGTCAAAAGATGTTTATTTCAGTCTGGTAGTTACAATGCAGATTGCAATCTCTTAGTTTCGCCTCCTTTATTTCAAGCAATAGTATGATTCGCACACATATTTTTTCACTTTAAATTTTTCAGATTCTTAAGAATTTGTTTATTAAATCTTATATTGACCACATACAATGTTTAAATAGGAAGAAATGCTTAAAAGCTGTTTTTTTGCAGATGGCGGTATTTTGGGCAACTGCATGAGTTGTTATGATTTGCTGTTTGATTAGAAGTAAGCATAATTTTAGGAAATTTATGGTGTCAAAAACTTCTTTGATAGTTATTACAAGGTTTTACTTAGTTTAAAGTGATAAGCAGTTGCATCAGAAAGAAAAATTTGGGTTTTCACACATTTTGTTAACATTTACTCAAATTTCAGGAAACATGTGCTTGTCTATCAAAAACACGTTTTAAATATTTTAAAATGCATTTGATTAATGACCGTTAATCTCTCTGCTAAAAGTTTAAATGGTTTGCATATGTGAATTTAGTATATAAAAGTCATATTATGCAATCAAGCTGAAATCTTAGAAAATATGCACTTATTCATCCTTGGCCTTTGATCTTGATTTGACGGAAATTGCACCGTTACGTTTTTTTTACGACCGGGCAAAACAGATAGTACAGATGTGTAGCTTTCAAATGATATATAATTTAGCCGTATGTTAGGTGGGTGCATTAAAAATTTAATTTTATGGTTAAAGTCACTCGCCTATTATCAGATTACAAAGCATATGGTAAATGTCTTATGACACAATTATAATTGGAGTGACAGATTCATTTGAAAATTTTCTGTTTCATAAGTGCTGATGATTATAAGCTATATAGGACTGTATAAATATAGTAAGAAATTTACTGTTCATTTTTAGACATTTTGAAGATAATTACAGATAAGTTTTATAGTTTTATAGATTTTTAAAAGACATTGTATTAATGATAAAAATTTTGATTTTTTTTTCTTTTCTTTGGTTAATTGTTTGAAGAATTTTGTGATAGGTTTGTTTGTTATTCTGTAAAAACTAATTTTCTAAATGCTATATGTATTTTTATCGTCGTCGTCGTCGTCCGAAGACACATTGGTTTTCGCACTCTAACTTTAGTTTTAGTGAATGGATCTCTATGAAATTTTACCATAAGGTTCAATACCACAAAAGGAAGGTTGGGATTGATTTTGGGGGTTATGGTACCAACAGTTAAGGAATTAGGGGCCAAAAATAAGTATTTTTGTAACTTCCAGACAAAACTTGTGTGTTAGTGTATGGATCTCTCTGACATGTACCACAAGGTACCATACCACAAAGGGAAGGCTGGGATTGATTTTGGGGGTAATTGCCTCAAAATTTTAGGAATTAGTGGCCAAAAAGGGGCAAAAAACAAGCATTTTCTAGTTTCATGACAATAACTTGTGTGTAAGTGTATGGATCTTTATGAAATTGTACTACAAGGTTCCATATCACAAAGGGAAAGCTGGGTTTGAGTTTGGGGGTAATTGTTCTAAACATTTAGGAATTAGGGGCCAAAAAACAAGCATTTTTCTAGTTTCCAGACAATAGCTTGTGTTCAAGTGTATGGATCTCTCTGAAATTGAACTGCAAGGTACCATACCACAAAGGGAAGGCTGGGATTGAGTTTGGGGGTGATGAATCATAAGGGGGTTCAAAAAATTTGGGGAGAGGGATTTTTTTTTCCATTTTTTCCTTTTTTTTTCTTTAAAATTTTCCATTTTAAATTGGTTATTTCTGATTTATATATAAAAGCAAATAATAATGATATGGTTGGAATAGGTAAATTAAAAATTTATAAGTTCTTAGACCACATTCATTCTGTGTCAGAAACCTATGCTGTGTCAAATATTTAATCACAATCCAAATTCAGTGTGTATCAAGCTTGAATGTTGTGTCCATACTTGCCCCAACTGTTCAGGGTTTGACCTCTGCGGTCATATCAAGCTGCGCCCATCGGAGCATTTTATTTTTTGATGAAATGAACTCCTTTAAAAACTAAGCTTATATTGTCTTTTAATAAACATATATTTAGATTTCTGATTTTGGGCCCAGTTTTTAAGTTGGTCCAAATCGGGGTCCAAAATTAAACAGTGTTTGATTTCAACATAAATTGAATATATATAGGGTTCTTTGAAATGCTGAATCCAAACCTGTATTTATTTTCATTATTAATTATATAATACCACATTGTGGTCCAAAGGGTCCTAAATTAAACTTTTGATTAATTTCATCAAAAATTGAATTCTTGGGGTTCTTTGATATGCTGATTCTAACAATGTTTTAGTGATTAAATCATATCTAATTTTAGAGAATTTAGTCATCACTGGTTGTTGTTATTATATTATTGATTATAATTTGAAAATGGATGTATATAACATAATATCTAATTTTAGAGAACTATTTATTCAGTTTGAGTTATTTCCCTTTGAACAGAAAATCATATGGATAAAATTAAACTGTGTTTCATTTCAACATAAATTAAATATATATAGGGTTCTTTCAAATGCTGAATCTAAACCTGTATTTAAATATTAGATTTTTGGGCCCAGTTTTCAAGTTGGTCCAAATCAGGGTCCAAAATTAAACTTTGTTTGATTCAACAAAATTTGAATTTATGGGGTTCTTTGAAATGCTGAATCTAACCATGTATTGAGAGATTTTGGATTGTGGGCTCCTTTATCAAATTGGTCCACATTGAGGTCCAAAGGTTCCTAAATTAAACTTTTGTTTGATTTCATCCAAAATTGAATTCTTGAGGTTCTTTGATATGCTGATTCTAACAATGTACTTAGATTTTGGATATTGGACCATAATAGGTAAATGTCCAAATTTAAATATTTCAGTTCTTTGACCACATTCATTTTGTGTCACAAACCTATGCTGTGTCAAATATTCAATCACAATCCAAATTCAGAGCTGTTTTAAGCTTAAATGTAGTGTCCATACTTGCTCAACTGTTCAGGGTTCCACCTCTGCAGGAAAATCAGGCTTGCTGTCACTCTGACAGCCTCTTGTTAAAGTCTGTCATAGTTGATTGAAAACTTCTATAGACTGACTGTCATTAAAACTTTTGCAATTTAAGTAAGTTTAAAAGAAAAAAATACATGAAATCTTTTTAAACATAATATATTAATATACAAGCTTTTTCCAAAACTAAATGAGAAAATATGAATGAAAGAAATGATAAACACTTTTTATGAAGATGTGTAAGGGGAGACAATATTTTATCACTCAGATGTGTTTTCATCTAGAGATAGTATTCCATAGGATTTTTATATGTATAATTAATAATAAAATTTAGGTTCAAAATTATGTTAAATGAAATCATTCCAATTTGAGAGATAAGTGTTTACTGTTGATATACTATATATTATTTTTGTTTTGTAAAAAGTGTTGTGACATCCTAAAAAACATGCAAATTTGTCCAAAAATATTATTCTCAACTCAAATAATATTTTTTTGAATGAACTATTCAACTATAAAACAAACCAAGTTAAGTGATGTAAATGAATTTCTTGGTTCTCAGATCCGCTCACATATTGATTATGGATGCAACATTTTTCTTATTGAGTAATGAAAAGTCATTTATACAGTGGTGCCTTTCAAACAGAAAAAAATTACCTGAGTTTGATTTCATAACTATGAGGTCTTCAATAGAGATTAAATCTGAGATTACTAGAACATAGTAATCTCAGGTTAAATTAAATGCTACAAAGATCTCAAGTTTGAAGCGAGCAAACAATCCTGATTCTGCAAAAATAGTATCTGGTTGATCTCAGTTATAATTAGATGTTCATCTCACTGTTGCTCTAAAGGAAAGAGTAAAACTTGTTAACTTCTGTCTGTCCTTCTGTCTGTTTCATGAAATTTTCGCAGCATTTTTCCTAGAAACTACAAATCTGAGATTCCTGAAATTTGGTTTCAATATAAAAATTAGGAGATGTGGAATGATTGCCAATGAGAAAACTATCCATCAAAGTTCAAATGAAGTGGATGTGAGCAACTATAGGCAACCATATGGCCTTCAACAATGAGAAAAACCCATACCCAACCTTCATGTGAGCATATACTGTGTGTTGTGTTTTAACAACGTGATCGTACATCTCTAGTTGACTTTCTGGTAACCAAATACTTATAGCAGGTTATCATTAGTGAGCAATAGCTCACAGCACATTTTGTTTAGGTAAAATTTACCTTAAAAAATATAACCCTGAATATAAAGTTGCAGTAATTGCAGAACCAGGATAGAAAGACCAACATTGTGGTATACTCCCCTCCCCATCCAGCTGTAACAAACTAAAGCAAAAAAAAGAAAACTTTACTCCATTACTTTCAAATACAATAGAAATGAAAAGATGCCTACATCTTTTTACAGATTATTTGGACTGAGAACTTAGCAATACTTTTGTTTGATCTAACAGTAGTTTAACCTTTTATTAAATGCATGGCATTTACACACCTTGTCAGAAGGTACCTTGAATGCATTATCAATAAAACTATTTTTTTTCTGATTAGAGAAAAGGTCAACATCAGTGTTTTTTTATGACAATGAATAAAATATTATCCAGGTGAGTTGTTAATCATGAGTTATCTCCCCTATTGATACTATTTATGAATTATCTCCCTTTGGTACTATTTATTGCATTTAGGTTAGATCTATTGATAATGTATTTTCAATTTAAACCATGAAAGTGATGTCGTAAAACTATTTACATTCTTCTTTATTTATGTCTTGCTTGCAACAAATAATACAAAGTAAGACATAGGTATCACTTTTTAGGCAATGGTTTTGGTAAGACAGTACAATTGTCAACACATTGTTAGGGTTGTCTGATAAAATCCATTTCAGAATAATGTCTAGAGAAGTATTTAAGATATACCATTGACATTGTAAGAATTTTACTTTAGGGGATGAGATGAGACGCTAATGCCTTAAGAAATATCAACTTTGTCAAAAGCAAGTACTCAAGTGCTCACAAACTTAACCTTGTACAAAAGAATTTGCTGGGAAACAGTAAATACACGTTAATTTAGCTTGCAGGAATAATGTTATGATAAAATGTATTACAAATCTTCCTCAGTAGACACATTTATATTACTGTAAATTCGGAAATTATGGCATGCATTTATTATTACGATTTTTGTCTCGCCTTGACGGAGTCAAAAAGCGAGACAGAGATATGCTGTTTCCGGCAACGACGGCGGCGTCAACAATGTATTAGTTTGTGATTAGGTCTAGTTCATGGTGAACCACTAGTGGTAGGTCAATGATATTTGGTATGCAGTTGTATTAGCATTGGCACATCTCATTACCATGGAGATATTTGGCCCCGCCCCCTCAGTCAAGGTCTATTGACTTTGAAACTTTTCATAGTTAACATGTATTAGTTTGTGATAAGGTCATCTTATGGGGAACCTCTAGTGGTAGGTCAATGATATTTGGTATGCAGTTGTATAAGCATGGGCATATCTCATTTCCATGGAGATTATTTGGCTCCGCCCCCTTAGTCATGGTCTATAGACTTTGAAAATTTTGCTAAGTTTACATGTATTAGTTTGTGATTAGGTCAGTTCAAGGGGAACCATTAGTGGTAGGCCAATGTTAATTGGTGTTCAGTTGTATAAGCATTAGCACATCTCATTTCCATGGAGAATATTTGGCCCCGCCCCCTCAGTCATGGTCTATTTACTTTGAAACTTTTGCTTAGTTTACATGTATTAGTTTGTGATTAGATCAGTTTAAGATGAACTGCTAATGTTAAGTCATTGATATTTGGTATGCAAATTTATTGGCATTTGCAAGTATGGTTTCCATGGAGATTATATAGCCCCACCCCTGATCATGGTTCATTGACTTTGAAACTTTTACATAGTTTACAAGTTAATGTTTGTGTTTAGGTTTGTTTAATGAGAACGACTTATAATAAGTCAATGGCATTTGGTATGCAGTTGTATTAGCATTGGCACATCTCATTTCCATGGAGATTGTTTAGCCATGTACATTCAGTCATGGTTCATCGACTTTGAATATTTGCATAACTTACATGTTAAAGTATTGCAATTTTAATTTCAACATTTGCATCATCAAAATTACAAAAAGGCGAGACATATCTCTGTGATAACAGTTTATTTAAGAATGGACAAAAATGCGAAATTAACTATTGCGATTTCATGAAAATCAGATATCAGAATGGATATTCTAATTTTTGCGATACATGTCCAGTTGCATTATTCGCATTAATAAAACCCTTGCAATAATTCTGAATTTAAACTAGATGATAAAAGAAGGTGTCATTAAAGGCTCCTATTTCTGTCTCAAGTTTTAGACAGGGTTCACCTGACCTTGACCTCATTTCATTACTGATTGGCCAAGCTTCACAATAAGGTGAATTACTGTAAGTATAAGTTCCATTATATATGTCTTAGGGATCATGTGGGGGTTATGTTTCTGTTTGACAAGAATCACATGATTCCTTGTTTCAATAATCAAGGTTAAGTTTTCATGCTAATGATCAATATATCAGTTACTTCGAGTGGAAGGTGAACTGAAGTTTCGTCTGTAGAATCTGACCGTAATTTTATTTTCGTGGTTCATCAGCGAACATTCAGTTTTCTTTATACGTATAGTAAGACTTATTTCAAAGTAGCTCAAGATATTATTAAGTTACAAGCAATTATGCAGGCAAGACGTTTCAGATTGTTAAATCTGTTGGAGTTTCTTAGACCCTATTCAGGTTGGGTTTGTTCTGTACATATATTTATTTATATAAAAAATGTACTAAAAAACATATAAGTATAAATGTGCAATATTATATGTGAGATTAGCTGTGTATATTTCTTTCATGTAAAAAGAAGAAAATTTGCTGGAACAAATGACAGCTTGATTGAATTGTACAAAATGTAATTTTTGGCAAACTAAGAAATATACATTTTCATGGTAAATTTGAATTTCATTACTTCCACTGATTAATTGCTATATTTATGCCCCCGCCGTAGCAGAGAGGGCATTAAGTTTTACCCTTGTCCGTCTGTACGTACGCCCGTACATCTGTTCGTCCGTACGTCCCAAAGTTGGTTTCCGTTCTCTAACTTTAGTTTGCATCAACCAAATGTTATGAAACTTATACAAAATGCTTATTACCACAAAACACAGATCAAGTTTGAATTTTGGTGGTGTCACTTTAACCGTTCTAGAGTTATGCCCCTTTACAACTGGAAAAATTGCTGAATTTTTCGTTTCCGTTCTCTAACTTTAGTTTGCCTCGACCAACTGTTATGAAACTTATACACAATGCTTATTACCACAGATCAAGTTTGAATTTTGGTGGTGTCACTTTAACTATTCTAGAGTTATGCCCCTTTACAAATGGAAAAATTGCTGAATTTTTGGTTTCCGTTCTCTAACTTAAGTTTGCCTCAACCAAATGTTATGAAACTTATACACAATGCTTATTACCACAAAACACAGATCAATTTTGAATTTTGGGTAGCGTCACTTTTAATGTTCTTCAGTTTTGTCCCTTTATAACTTTATATGATGTGCAAGCGGGGCATCATCTGTGTCCCATGGACACATTCCCCATTTATTTTTATAAACCTTAGGAAGATTGGATTACATTTTTGCATAGAAATCTTCGTTAGATATGTGACTTAATTACTCAAAGGGTTTATTTAGATGTTTTACAAATTCCTCTTTGGAACAGAACAGATTTGCTATAGCCCTTTGCAGAAGTCAATCTGAAAAAAACCTGTAATTTGACTTGTAATATGATCTGAGTTATCTATTTTCCTAGTAGTATTTGTATGCTGCAATGAAGACCAATGGCAAGAAGCAGATATTATTTTAAACTTCAATATATACATATATTAATACTATTCCTTATAATTGTTTGATAGGAAGTAGATTGAAAGTAAAAAGATCAAGTTTATAAGAACCTGTTTTCATGAAAGTCTTGTGGAAAGTCCACCTCTCACCATTGCACTTCATTGCAGGGAAGCTGTAATGCTTTCAAGGAAGGAGATATCTCATATGTATATCATAAACTAATTTTAGTCAAATTCAGGCTTTCAGAAATGATATATTTTGGATAGAGCTGAGTGATTACTTAAAAGTATAACCTTTTCATGTTGTTAAAAGTCCAGTATTATTACTTATTGTAATAGGTGTAAATATATATATATATATATATATTAAAGTAAAAGGCTCTGCTCAAAATGTATAAATGCTGAACTATTTGTTGTGGCATTAGTCTAGTGTTGTTATCTTAATTCAATGCTTGCTAAAACTGGATTTATTTTTTGGTTAAAGGTTTCAATTACCAATTTGGCAACTTGGAACATAAGGAAATTTAAAATTTAACCTCCTACGAAAACAAATATTGGAACTTTTTTTTCTATCCCACATATTACTTAAATATATTTGTTTTCAATAGAGAAGATTAACTGTTACGGGACAGCAATTTTTTGTATTGTTTGCAAAAGGTATTATTCAGGATTATTTTTAGTTCTTCTATTGCATTTAGATAAGTAACATGTTTATATGAAGGAAAACACTTTGAAAAGAACAGTGTATAGACTGATAATTTTAAGAAAATACAGTTTAAGTGCAGAAAGAAGGACATTTTAAACTGCTATAATCACTCTCCAAAACAAAGACCATTTCTGAATAAGACATACCTGCATACTAATCCATACTTCACCACTTTTGACACTTTTATGAAAGCAATTATGTACAACTTTGTGATAATGGTAATTAATGTGCCTCACCTTTTTGGTATCATTATTTAGATGTCAGTTTGGTTCTCCTTTTCATCTGGGTGACTGCTATCCATGATCCCAAAGTTTGCCTACCCATATACCCAAGGTTTCCCTACCCATGATCCCAAAGTTTGCCTACCCACATATACCAAAGGTTTTCCTACCCATGATCCCAAGGTTGGCCTACCCATATACCAAAGGTTTCCCTACCCATGATCCTAAAGTTTGCCTACCCATATACCCAAGGTTTCCCTACCCATGATCCCAAAGGTTTCCCTACCTATGATCCCAAAGTTTGCCTACCCATATACCCAAGGTTTCCCTACCCATGATCCCAAAGGTTTCCCTACCCATGATCCCAAAGGTTTCCCTACCCATGATCCCAAAGTTTGCCTACCCATATACCCAAGTTTTCCCTACCCATGATCCCACTGAAGTCACTATTTTGTCTAACCATGATCCAAATTTTGCCTTTCCATGATTCCAAGGTCTGCCTACCAGTGAACACAAGGTTTGTCTACCCTTGACCTCAAGGTTGTTCTCCTCATTATCCAAACGTTTGCCTACCCGTTATCCCAAGGTTTGTCTACCCATGAACCAAATGTTTGTCTACCCATGATCCCAAGGTTTGCCGACCCATGAACTCAATATTAGCTTACACATGATACCAAGGTCAGTCGACCCATGAACCCAATGTAAGTTTACACATGATCCCAAGGTCTGTCGACTCAAGAACCCAATGTTAGTCTACACATGATCTAGACATTAAAATTACATTAGTCTAGACAAGATTTGTCTACTCATCATCTCAAGGTTAGCCTTCACAGGATACAAATGTTTGCCTACCCAAAATCTAAAGGTTGCCTTTCAGCAGCTATGTTTTATGTAAGGATTTTGAAACAATCATTTGAATATGCATTTCAAATGAATTATGCTGAACGTCTTGTTAAGTTAAGTTTGGGAAGACTTATTGGTTTTGCTCAGTTCTTATTATTATTATTATTCTTCTTCTTCTTCTTCTTCTTCTTCTTCCTCTTCCGCCACTTTTAAATTTGAACTTGTCCGCACCCGTTCTCCAAAACCGCTTGTCAGATTAACTTTGGGTTTCACAATATGTTAGACTAACATGTCTAGTAGTGCAATCAGGGTTTTGTTTGTGTAATGGGGTTTATAAAGGGGTACTTTGAGGGGCAATAAGAAAGGAGGGTTTTACTATAGAACCCTGTGGGATTTTATTTTTTTAAATTTTCAAATGATTATAAATTGAAAACCGTTTGTGATAGACACAATCTTTTTAATTGAAAATGTTCTAAATGATAAAGCACATTAAATGAAATACAGGGTAAGTCCCCAGGGGTCACCCCCACCCCCAGCCATTTAAGAAAGTTCTAATAACTTGTAAGTGGTCAAGATCCCCACCCCTAAACCATATATATTCTGGTTTGTCATGCCAAGATGGTTTGAATGATATACAGGGTTAGTCCCCAGGGGTCATCCCGACCCCCTGTCATTTGAGAAAATTCTAATATCTTGTAAATGGTCGTGATCCCCACCCCTAAACCATATATATTCCTGTTCGTCATGTCTCGAACATTTGAATGAAGTTTAGGGTCAGTCCCCAGGGGTTCCCCCCCCCCCACCCTTAATGTTCTAGTATCTTGTAAATGGTCGAGATCCCCACCCCTAAACCATATATATTCTGGTTTGTCATGCCAAGATGATTTGAATGATATACAGGGTTAGTCCCCAGGCATCACTAATGCATATAACTTTACTGGACCAAACCAATTTTCACTGGAATTTGTCCAATGTCAGGCAACCCTGGGAATTACGAATTATGGGAGCTTCGTTTAGGAGACTTCGTAACAGCATCCTGTTACAATCATTTCTTGTTAGAAGTGATACCATGTAACAAACAGCTATGGGGATAACAGATAGTGATTTTCGATGAAGTTCGGTGTGTTTTCAGTGCAGACGTACGTAGTGATTTTAAGTAATGGTGGAAAGGTGTGTGGGTATAGTAAAGCCAAAAAGATGTCCAGTCTAGATGTTTCAGAAAGGAGTCTTTTTCTTTTGTTTTGGAAATTTTAATTTTTAAGTTAATATTTACTTCTTTTATTAATGTAAACATTAATGTCAAAAGTAAGTTATTGTCATTCTAGATAATTTGTTTCGCATCTAGATCTTCATAGATGTGTATATAGAATAAATAGTATGCAAATGGTTCATCTTCTTTATTTGTTGTAGAATAGAAAATAACAAACTTTAATTGAGTTTGAAATATGGAAAGTCCCAAAAAGAATGATAAAAATAAAAAAGCATTGGAATACCAGCTAATGGAAGAGATGGAAAAAGACTCATATTACTGACTCAGTACATGTGTTTTCCTTAGGGAAGTAATGAGCCTCCTCATGGGGTTTTTATACGACCGCAAAAATTAAAAAATTTTTGGTCGTATATTGGTATGACGTTGGCGTCATCTTCGTCGTCGTCCGAAGACACATTTGTTTTCCCACTCTAACTTTAGTTTAAGTGAATGGATCTCCATGAAATTTAACCATAAGGTTCAATACCACAAAAGGAAGGTTGGGATTGATTTTGGGGGTTATGGTACCAACAGTTAAGGAATTAGGGGCCAAAAATAAGCATTTTTGTCGAGCCTGCGACTTTTGTCAACAAAGCTCAACATAGGGATAGTGATCCGGCGGCGTTAGCTAGCTTCATAAAAGCTTTATATTTTAAAAGGTGGAAGACCTGGATGCTTCATACTTTGTATATAGATGCCTCATGTTACGAAGTTTCCGTCAGTCACATGTCCAATGTCCTTGACCTCATTTTCATGGTTCAGTGACTACTTGAAAAAAAAGTTCAGAATTTTTGGAATGTTAAATTCTCTCTTATTATAAGTAATAGGATAACTATATTTGGTATGTGCGTACCTTGCAAGATCCTCATGCCCGTCAGACAGTTTTCACTTGACCTCGACCTCATTTCATGGATCAGTGAACAAGGTTAAGTTTTCGTGGTCAAGTCCATATCTGAGATACTATAAGCAATAAGTCTACTATATTTGGTGTATGTAATGATAGTAAGGTGTACATGTCCAACTGGCAGGTGTCATCTGACCTTGACCTCATTTTCATGGTTCAGTGGTCATAGTATAGTTTTTGTGTTTTGGTCTGTTTTTCTAATACTGTATGCAATAGGTCAACTGTATTTGGTGTATGGAAATATTTTACGATGTTCATGTCAGTCTGGCAAGTTTTATTTGACCTTGACCTCATTTTCATGGTTCATTGCTCAATGTTAAGTTTTTGTGTTTTGGTCTGTTTTCCTAATACTGTATGCAGTAGGTCAACTATATTTGGTGTATGGAAATATTTTATGATGTACATGTTAGTCTGGCAAGTTTAATTTGACCTTGACCTCATTTTCATGGTTCATTGCTCAATGTTAAGTTTTTGTGTTTTGGTCTGTTTTCCTAATACTGTATGCAGTAGGTCAACTATATTTGGTGTATGGAAATATTTTATGATGTACATGTCAGTCTGGCATGTTTTATTTGACCTTGACCTCATTTTCTAGGTTCATTGCTCAATGTTATTTTTTTGTGTTTTGGTCTGTTTTTCTTATACTGTAAGCAATAGGTCTACTATATTTGGTGTATGTAATGATAGTAAGGTGTACATGTCCAACTGGCAGGTGTCATCTGACCTTGACCTCATTTTCATGGTTCAGTGGTCATAGTTTAGTTTTTGTGTTTTGGTCTGTTTTTCTAATACTGTATGCAATAGGTCAACTGTATTTGGTGTATGGAAATATTTTACGATGTTCATGTCAGTCTGGCAAGTTTTATTTGACCTTGACCTCATTTTCATGGTTCATTGATCAATGTTAAGTTTTTGTGTTTTTGGTCTGTTTTCCTAATACTGTATGCAGTAGGTCAACTATATTTGGTGTATGGAAATATTTTATGATGTACATGTCAGTCTGGCATGTTTTATTTGACCTTTACCTCATTTTCAAGGTTCATGCTAAATGTTATTTTTTTGTGTTTTGGTCTGTTTTCTGAATACTATAAGCAATAGGTCTACAATATTTGGTGTATATAATGATAGTAAGGTGTACATGTCCAACTGGCAGGTGTCATCTGACCTTGACCTCATTTTCATGGTTCAGTGGTCATAGTTTAGTTTTTGTGTTTTGGTCTGTTTTTCTTATACTGTATGCAATAGGTCAACTGTATTTGGTGTATGGAAATATTTTACGATGTTCATGTCAGTCTGGCAAGTTTTATTTGACCTTGACCTCATTTTCATGGTTCATTGCTCAATGTTAAGTTTTTGTGTTTTGGTCTGTTTTCCTAATACTGTATGCAGTAGGTCAACTATATTTGGTGTATGGAAATATTTTATGATGTACATGTTAGTCTGGCAAGTTTTATTTGACCTTGACCTCATTTTCATGGTTCATTGCTCAATGTTAAGTTTTTGTGTTTTGGTCTGTTTTCCTAATACTGTATGCAGTAGGTCAACTATATTTGGTGTATGGAAATATTTTATGATGTACATGTCAGTCTGGCATGTTTTATTTGACCTTGACCTCATTTTCAAGGTTCATTGCTCAATGTTATTTTTTTGTGTTTTGGTCTGTTTTTCTTATACTGTAAGCAATAGGTCTACTATATTTGGTGTATGTAATGATAGTAAGGTGTACATGTCCAACTGGCAGGTGTCATCTGACCTTGACCTCATTTTCATGGTTCAGTGGTCATAGTTTAGTTTTTGTATTTTGGTCTGTTTTTCTAATACTGTATGCAATAGGTCAACTGTATTTGGTGTATGGAAATATTTTACGATGTTCATGTCAGTCTGGCAAGTTTTATTTGACCTTGACCTCATTTTCATGGTTCTTTGCTCAATGTTCAGTTTTCCTGGTTAACTTTTTTTCTTAGATACCTTAAGCAATAGGTCAACTATATTTGGAATGATTTTAATGTGTACATGTCTGTCTGGCAGGGTTCAAATGACCTTGACTTCATTTTCATGGTTCATTGGTCAATATAAAATTTCCATGGTTTGGTCTGTTTCTTTTATACTATAAGCAATAGGTCATCTATATTCTGTGTATGGAGTGATTGTATTAAAGGTGTACATATATTTCCGACTTGGTTTATCTGACCTTGACCTCATTTTCTTGGATCATAAATGTTAATGTGATACTTTATATGTAGGACTATCAACATAAAATCAATGGTCAGTATAGTAGGCGAGACATTTCAGCGTGTGCACTCTTGTTGTAACTTCCAGACATAACTTGTGTGTTAGTGTATGGATCTCTCTGACATTGTACCACAAGGTTCCATATCGCAAAGGAAATTCTGGGATTGATTTTGGGGGTAACTGCCTTAAAATTTTAGGAATTAGGGGCCAAAAAAGGGGCAAAAAACAAGCATTTTTCTAGTTTCATGATAATAACTTGTGTGTAAGTGTATGGATCTTTCTGAAATTGAACTTTAAGGTTCCATATCACAAAGGGAAAGCTGGAATTGAGTTTGGGGGTAATTGCCCAAAACGTTTAGGAATAAGGGGCCAAAAAGGGGCCAAAAATAGCATTTTTCTAGTTTCCAGACAATAACTTGTGTTCAAGTGTATGGATCTCTCTGAAATTGTACTGCAAGGTACCATACCACAAAGGGAAGGCTGGGATTGATTTGGGGGTAATTGCCTCAAAATTTTAGGAATTAGGGGCCAAAAAGGGGCAAAAAACAAGCATTTTTCTAGTTTCAGGACAATAACTTGTGTTCAAGTGTATGGATCTTTATGAAATTGTACTACAAGGTTCCATATCACAAAAGGAAAGCTGGGTTTGAGTTTGGGGGTAATTGCCTTAAACGTTTGGGAATTTTGGGCCAAAAAGGGGCCTAAAAACAGGCATTTTTCTAGTTTCCAGACAATAACTTGTGTTCAAGTGTATGGATCTCTCTGAAATTGTACTGCAAGGTACCATACCACAAAGAGAAGGCTGGGATTGAGTTTGGGGGTGATGAATCATAAGGGGGTTCAAAAAATTTAGGGGAGTGATTTTGTTTTCTTTAAAATTTTCCATTTTAAATTGGTTATTTCTGATTTATATATAAAAGCAAATAATAATGATATGGTTTGAATAGGTAAATTAAAATTTTTTAAGTTCTTAGACCACATTCATTCTGTGTCAGAAACCTATGCTGTGTCAAATATTTAATCACAATCCAAATTCAGTGCTGTATCAAGCTTGAATGTTGTGTCCATACTTGCCCCAACTGTTCAGGGTTCGACCTCTGCGGTCGTATCAAGCTGCGCCCAGCAGAGCATTTTATTGATTATGTGATTTCATGGCCGATTTTATAGTAATTATTTGATTACCAGACCAAATATTTCATAAAATTGAGAATGGAAATGGGGAATGTGTCAAAGAGACAACAACCCGACCATAGAACAGACAACAGCAGAAGGTCACCAACAGGTCTTCAATGCAGCGAGAAATTCCCGCACCCGGAGGCGTCCTTCAGCTGGCCCCTAAACAAATATATATACTAGTTCAGTGATAATGAACGCCATACTAAACTCCAAATTGTACACAAGAAACTAAAATTAAAAATAAAACAAGACTGACAAAGGCTAGAGGCTCCTGACTTGGGACAGGCGCAAAAATGCGGCGGGGTTAAACATGTTTATGAGATCTCAACCCTCCCCCTATACCTCTAGCCAATGTAGAAAAGTAAACGCATAACAATGCGCACATTAAAATTCAGTTCAAGAGAAGTCCGAGTCTGATGTCAGAAGATGTAACCAAAGAAGATAAACAAAATGACAATAATACATAAATAACAACAGACTACTAGCAGTTAACTGACATGCCAGCTCCAGACTTCAATTAAACTGATTGAAAGATTATGTCTTCATCATATGAATATCAGGCACAATCCTTCCCGTTAGGGGTTTAGTATCATACCATCATAACATATATGAGAAGAACATAACCCGTGTCATGCCAACAACTGGTTTTTAAATAAATGTGTTTAGTGCCGATGCAAAGACCCTATTAGTGAATCAATATTAACGCCAAAATATGCAATCTTTAATGACCTGATAACAGTATCGTAACTACATCCCTTCTTAATAAGTCTATTTAAAGGTTTTGTTAGCTTCAGAGGTGAATACTGACATTTTTGTGCTTTATAAAGA